TGCTCAGGATTGCTGAAAATTCCATTGTGTTTTTAATTTAGTCAGAATGATTTGACTATCTCTAATTTGGATTGAGGAATTGATGAGTAACAGCAGATGTTAAAATGCAGCAATGGGAGTCTGAATTCATATCATGTCTCTGTGGCTACTCCAGCTCAAATTATAGCCCAGTTCTTCCCTTCTTTCAGTCTAGGCCTCAAATATGGTATCAGCACTACAGTTGCATCACGTGTACTGTACAAATCCACTTACAGCTACTGCTCTTTGAATGCAATACAAGCGGTGGGTCCAGAAGTGGGGTCGCCACAAAAAGAGACCCATAGTGTAGCATGTAGGGTTCTCTAAGGAATAGTTTTGGTTTAGAAATGCAACAATGTTTTTGCTGTCTTTTCCGGGAGGAAATTGCACACTGTGCCCTACAAACTGGCAGTGGAGGGGAGTTGATGACACCTGTTACTACGTCCCCACATAAGAGGCTACATGGGAGCAGAGTCAGAGGTTTTGTACCTCACAGGATTCTGACCTTCTCCTGGTGAAAGATGAAGAAAAGCTGGTTACAACCCCTACAACTGCCTGACTTCCGTATAAACCATAGTGTAATTTCCAGAGCTGCCTACAAGGCAGCAAAAGAAATTGGGTTCTTCTCTCTCCACTGTTCTGATATCCCCAGAAGCTGGTACCAAAGACAGCTCCTTATAAACCTGCATAATCCTCTAACTTCTTGGGCATTTTTGGCCCTGCGTCTTCCCTGTGGATTAGTAAGCATGTACATGTGGACTGAGCCAGCACAATAAGGAAATTCACTGGGCAAGTACATGCTCAATTACATATTCATGTAGCTGAGAGTAAGCATGGAAAAAAGAAAGAAACTTCTGTGTTCAAATGCCAAAAGTGGAGAGCTGAGGATACTTACCATGGTAGCTCTAAATCCCTCAGCCAGAGGTTTTTACCTTATAGCTCTATAACTTGATATAATCATGCTCTAACCACCATGCCATAGGCCAGGCAACAGTTAGGCTCTTCTGCAGCACTCCTCCTATAGCTGTGTCACTGCCCTTGTGCTGTTAAGAGTCACTGGATAGAACTGACTGGAGAGCAGAGCAGTTTAACATGGTCTACTCCCTTTGGAAGCTAGGTATCTCCCTCTCATGGCTGCCAGGGGAACCAACTTAAGGTAGAGAGCTAGAGAGAGCTCCAGGCAATACCACATGTGTGGTATAGTGTAAAGCTGTGCAAAGCTTCGGACTCTGCTTTGGATTTGGAGATGCTTCAAATGCTTCAGCATCTGAAGCAGCATGTCCGGATCCAAGTACTGGCTGCTTTAGGCTTTCTGAAGCGGTTCGGAGTTTCCAAACTGTTTCGGCGCTGCCTCAGAGATCTGGCCATAGGGTATAATGGGAAATCAATAAAATATCTATAACTTTGTTGTCTATAACTTTGGTGGGCCCCTGTCCACCCTGACTGCTGTGCCCAAGGTATCCGGGGTGGTCGGTCTCTGGTGTCAGGGCCCTGTCGGATGATGGAGCTCAGGCCTCCTCTCAGCCACCCTCCATTGCCACCCTGTCTGAGGTGGCAGTCCGGGAGCCATCCGATCCATTCCCTATGAACAGGGAGCTGCCCACCACTTCTCAAAAGAACAAGAAGAACGAAGAGAGGAAATTAAAGGGGGTCTCTCAGAACACCCCACCCTTGCTGTGGCCCACCTTGGTCGGTGCTGGGGGGTTGCCGCTGGGGAGACTGACCCCACTCCAGCTGTCCTGCTTGTGACCACAAGTGGTGCCGTGGAGGCAGTGCATGGGGGTGCACATGCACCCCCTGAGAGCGCTGTTCACCCTCTGACCAGCTGCACTCCCAGCTTAGGTAATGGCGGGGGGGAGCAGCAGGCGTGCCAGTGCACTGCCCCCCCATGAGCACTGGCTGGGGAGCAGAAGTGCCATGGCCACTCCCAGAAGCCAGTGAGTGAGATCAGCTGTGGGGGGACCCCCTCCCCAATCAATGCGATCAGCCACAGGGGGACCCCTCCTGGGCACTGACCACTTGCTGGTGGGGCACGTGTCTTCTCTGAGTAAGGTGGCACCAGTCACCTATCATGACCCCACTGCATGTGGCTGCAGCTGGGGATGACTCGGTGGCATGGGAGGTGATGGTAGGGTTCACCAATGCCTTGCCCACCTCCTGGCTTCCAGAGCTGGGTGGCAGCGTGGATGATTTAGAATGCCTCTCTTCTGGGAGCCTGACCCAGGAGGTGGTGGAGGGATTTGTTGACCCCTTGGTCACCCCACAGCCCAGCACATCAGATAGGGAGGATAGTGAGATGGAGATTCAGCTTTCCAAGTGTCGCAAGCAACCTCAAGAGCAGAATGACCCCTCTCCTCCCCAAGAAGGTGGGGATTGCTCTCTTGGAGCCAGTTCTCACCCCAGATGATGAGAAGAGGCTACTGTGCCTTGATATTGAGGGCATAGATGCCACACTCTCGAGCGAGCTCCCATCTGGAGTGTGGCCCCACGGCTCTTCTGTTGAGAACATCCAGCCCATGTTGGTGTCCCGACTCAGGGTAGCCCCCAACTATGGGGGTCTCCTGACTTTCCTGAAGCAGACCAGAGGGCAGAAGAATGTAATGGGGCACATCACCCAGTGGTGTGCGGACCCTGAGCTTTCTGTCAAAGCTGTCAGGGCTGCGGCCAAACTTATGCAACAAGATTTAGGTACCCAGCAGATGGCTTACAGTCTGGAGAAGCTGGCACAGTGGGTGAGAGACGTGTGGGGCCTGGGAGGGTCCCTGGAGTAGAGTAGGACATGATAGGCCTTCCCCAACCTGCCTGTGCTGTTTTGCTCTACCCTTGGGTGCTTTCTGTCTTACCCACACCTTCCCTCGCTCTTCCTTTTCTATACCCACACACATGGCAGTCATGACTATTGGCACTTTCAACACCAACAGGTGTTGAGATCCAGCGAAGCACTGCCCAAAGAGGTCAGTGTGAGCCATCTGGACAGTATCCCTCTGTTAGGAGTTCTGGCCTCCTCTAGGACTTCCTTGCCCTGGGACTTATCAGCTCTAATCATGATGCCCTAGGTCTTACCAGCTTTAATTATGGCCTCCTACTGCCACATAGCCATATCCATGCCTTACAGATTTTTCTTTATGTCCTTCACTGGGCCTGACCCTCTCTGAATCGCAGCACCCTGAGCCCCTCACTCTTTCTGGGCTGCTGCCCCAGTGCTGAACTCCTTGGCCTTGATCTATGCTCTGCACAAGCTCTTCCCTCTCTGAAGATCAGGGCCTGACTGCCCCTCTAGCTCTGGAGTTAGGCTTTGAGTATCCTGGCTCTACCCCTTTCTGGTCACTTAAATTCTGGCTGACTCAAGGCATTCTGCTCAGCCCATTACTTACTACGCTATGCTCTACTGCAGTCTGCCCAGCTGTCTTTCATCTGCTCCTTACTTAGCTGTCTGCTTGTAGGCCAGCCCTTGAGGATTGCCTTGTAGGCTGGCATCTTGCCTCAGCTGCCTACAGCTCTTCTTAATATCTGTCCCAGTGTTGTTTACTACACTGCAGCTGGCCCCTGCTCAGCTGTCTGCACCACAACGCAGCCCTGTAATGCCATCCTCCAAGTCTCTAAGTAGCAGGGGTTAGAGGACCCTGCTAGAGCAGGGATTTCATAGCAGTCTTTCAATAACTAAAGGCCTTGGTGGCATGTTTTGAGGAGGCATGTTGGGGCATGTGCCTCCCCAGATTTCTGTGATGACGGTGGTGTGCAGGGCATGAGGCTGCAGCCTGGCAGGAGCCAGGGCCTGGCAGCATTGAGGGTGGCAGCAGCAGCAGCAGCAGCGCGATTACTGTGCCAATGGTGGGGTGTAGGGCTGCAACCCAGCTAGACCCAACACTCAGGAGCAGAGGTAGCAGCACGCAGTTGTGTCCCCCTTAGTGGCAACATCTATGCCTGAAGGATGATTATGGAAAGGATGGAGGTGTATTTTTTTTTCTCTGTGGCTGTAAAGGACAGGACTAGAGACAATGGCCTCAAGCTTCAGCTAGGGAAATTAAGGCTGGAGGTTAGAAGGAACTTTCTGACAATGAGAGTGGTCAAGCATTGGAACAGGTGACCTAGAGAAGTTGTGGAATTTCCATGCTTGGAAACTTTCAAAAGCAGGTTAGACAGACACTCAAAGGGGATGATTTATTCAGGGTTGATCCTTCCTTGAGAAGGGGTGGACTAGATGACCTTGTGAGGTCCCTCCCGGTCCTTCTTTGCTATGCCCCTACGATCACCCACCCCTGGTTTCATTGCATTTCACAGTCAAACTCAAGGACTTCCTATTCCCCAGACAGGAGCTTCCATAGAAATAGTAAATAATATTTTTATTTGTAAAAGCCTGCACCGCTACAATTATACAGCATATAAAATACAAGAAATACAGATAAAACAACATATATCTATTTACAGGATTATAAAACAAATCCAATGCAAAATTATACACAAATATGCTGAGAAACTAAACTCTACATTTAATGTCTACCCCATTTCCGTCCATTCTGCCCCAGTGTCTACACAGCCATTTTGTTTTGTAGATGAGTCCCCAGGTAGATCACTGAGGCGGAAAATTTCAGAGATGAGGCCCCTTCACAGTGAATGTTCAGTCCCCCCATGAAGAGATCAGCAATTGTCATCTCAGGTGTGCTAATCTGTCCCTAACACTGGGGTCAAACAGGAGGAATCTATATAGCCCAAACCACCTAAACCTTGTTCAACTAGCTCCAACACCCTAGGCCAGTGGTCACCAACCAGTGGATTTTGATCTACTGGTAGATCTCAGAGCCTCCTGGAGTTGATCTGAGGCTGGGGTGGGGGGGCTGAGTGCCCGCATACATGCACGTGTGCACCCCACCCCCAGCCCATCCCAGGGCAGGGGCCAGATTGAGCCTCCCATGGTGAGGGAGGAAGTGGGGCTAGGGCTGGGGCCTCCATCTGTCCTGCCCCTTCCCCCACAGACTTGCCTGCTGCGGAGGCGTACCCCTAAATATTTTTTTTTCCTCAGTCTCTATCTGCCCCCCCCCCTTCCCTCCCCAAAGACTTACCTGCTGGCTGGGGGGGGGGAGGAAGTGGGGAGGAGATAGGGTGGTGGAAGTGCAAAGCAGATCTTTGGTTGCTTTTAAATGCCAAAGGTGATTTCCTATTTAAAAAGGTTGGAGACCACTGCCCTAGGCTGAGTCTGCAAATATTCAAGACCTGTGAAGCACAGAAGGAATAACCCTGGTACATTCCAAAAACAAGTGTGAATGATCAGGTATGTTCTTCATCACCTGATAGCTGTGAGTGATTTCAAGAGTAGTCCCAGGCACAGACCATTGCAGAAATCCCTTTATTCTTCTTGTTTTAATCTGCATAAATAAAACAGAATTTGGTCCTACGGTTCTCTAGTCCATTTAAAACTGCAAGTTCCCTGTCTGAGTGCCAAAGGTTTTCTATGGAACACATTCAGAATGTCTTCTGAATTTCCCTTACACTATAACAGGTAGTGGATATCTAATGAGAAATTAATATATATAATTTTCATGCTTTCCTTCCAACAAAATGATTAAAAAAGAGAAGTAACTTCAGGAAAGATTTAAACATCAAGCTTTGCATAATTTGGCTCCATGAGGATGGATTCATAAGTGATATTGGTGAGTGTAAGTAGTGAAGAGGTGGAGAGTTTGCTTAGGATTGTGTAAGGGTGTGCACAGTATGTTAAATACCTGTGCAGAAGTAAAAAGGTTAGTTCAGTGACTGGGAAATGATTTGTAGCAGATCGTTTACCAGGACTATGGAGCAGACTTCAGAACTGGGGTAGCCAAAGTCTCCTCACTTGAGTTTCATAAAGTTGCCTTATATATGATCTCCAGGAAATAGGCCATAGGAAACACTTGTAGTGAGGTGTTTTTTTTTTTTTTTTTTTTGTGATGAGCAAGCTAAGACTTCATAGTTTTTTAAATATCCAAATTACATCAGTCCATGACTTCTCCATAGGGTCACCATATGTTCTGTTTTAACTGGGACAGTCTCAGGTTTCTGAAGCTGGTCTTGGGTGGCAGTTGGAAATTATAATTGGTGTCCTGAAAACACAGGGACCTGGGGCACAGTCTGGTCATGAGTCAGAGCAGTGTGGAGTGCCTTGCACTGCTGCCTGCCTGGCATGCATCCCTGCCCCTGCTTACTTCTGAGAGCACCTGGGGGGTTGGGAGCAGAGGGAAGTGTCCCATTTTATCCAGATGATGTCCTGGATTCCTGGGATTTCCATATGGTCAGCCTACTTCTGTGGCATTTCCAATTTCAGTTTGACAGCTGTTGATCATTACAGATGAGGACTAACAAGTCTACCACGTTCTCTATGGGGTTATATATATTCCATGCTGTGTGGGCTCCTTCAGGAATGTGATTATCAGACAGAATCCAACAATGACAACAGATATACCAAGAGTGACTCATTCAACACAGATTTTGAAAGCTTTTCAGTTATAAAAGTAAACCAGCATAAGACAGAGTGCGCTGCTTTGCTAATAAATAATAATTTCAGCAAGAAATCCATCTTCTAAGTGCTAGTTGTCTGTTAGCTATAGCAGGATAAATGTCCAATGTAGAGAGGATGTTGCAATCACCAATAAATAATCATTAGTACACTGAAAATTAATCTTCCTTATGATGGCTATCTGTTAGATTCAGCTGGAAGACTGCCTTCTCACAGATCCAGTTATATTTGGTTTCACATTTATTGTAATTAATATGCCATGAACCCAAATATGCACATGGATAGTACCTGTAAGAACTAAACCCAGAAAACAAAGTATTATTTCATTACATCATGACACCCTGCTCTGACACACAGGCTGCAAACAGATGTCACCCTTGCCACACCAGAAAAGTTATATAGCAGTACAAAACTCAAGGAAACAGATGGCCCTCTCCCTCGTTGTGCCCTATATGCCCCCAGATTGTGCCGTGAAGATTCCTAGTAAGAGTTTAAGCCAGGGGTAGACAACGTTTTTGGCCAGAGTGTTGAAAATACCTCAATGTCTACCTTGCAAGGTACCCGAGTTTCAGCATGCCAGAAAAACAAAACTGGGGCAGGGGGTATATGGCAAGATGCACTGGATATTAATATAGTTAATAATCATAAATGTGTGGTGGGGGTTATGGTAAATACCTGGTTTTCTAAAAATTCTAAACCTGGTGACAATAAAGAAAACTTCATACACTGCTTTTGTCCTTGTGTATTCTTTTTTGTTAAGCATGTTGTGATGAGAGAGAGAGGAGGAAAGAGGGAAGAGAGACAGGAGGGAAAAGAGAAGAGGGAGGGAAGAGAGAGAGAGAGAGAGAAGGGAGGAAAGGAGAGAAGCAGTCATGGGGGAGGTGTGGACAGGCTGGCCCTGCCTAGCTGGGCCCTTGGGAAGGCAGCAGCTGGAGAAAAGTGGGGGCTGCCCCAGGGCTCTGCAGACTTGGGCTGCAGCGGGGTTACCTGCACAGCTCTGCAAGGATGGGGTGCAGTCACCTGCCTGTAAGAGGATGCTGCCTGGCTGGGATAGGATGTTGGGATCGGGGAGCTCCGGGCTTGGCCTCTGTGCATGCTGGGCAAAGCATGAGTGGGGCGGAGCCCCCCGGGCTGTGGCAGGAACCTCCTGGGCTCTGGGAACAGCCACCACAGGTGGTGCTCATAGCCGAGCCATCCAGGAGCCCGCAGCATAGCAGCACTGAGCAGTGCCTGTCCTGGCCCCAGCTGCTGTTCCTGGGAACTCTTGCATTTGGGCCCTTACATCAAGGATGGCTCCACCCTGTTCACACTGTGCCCAGTACACAGGAAGGCCAAGCCTAGAGCCAGAAACCCTCTGAGCCTGGTTTCCTGTCCCAGCCTGGCAGTGTCCCTTCATGGGCAAGGCAGCTGTGGCCCATCCCTGCAGAGATGCACGGGCTGAGCCAGGCCCCATCTTGGGTGCTACTGAACACTGACACCCACCCACCACAGCCCAAGACTGCAGGGCCCTAGGGAAACCCCTGCTTCCTGCCCAGCCCCCACCTTCATACAGGCCCAGCCAGGCCAGCCTGCCTGCAATGCTTCCCCATGCACTGCCCAGTCCTAGCACTCATCATCCTAGTGCTACCCCTGCCCGGGTGGGGTAGGGCACAGGCCTATGCCTCACCCACCTCCTGGGCCCAGGCAGACAGACTAATTGAGTCTGCTGGAGCATGACTCCAATGCTCCAATTAGACAAGCATTAATTAAAGCACCCCCACCACCATTTTTCAGTATGGGGACACTGATACACATGGTGCATTGGGCACTTTAATTAGAACAGTTCTCAGAGCTGCTCTAAGTAAAGCGCCCCTCCCGCACCACTCCTGGAGCATGTCTATAAATGTCCTTAGTGCCTGGCTCTGTGGACTTCTATTTCAAGTGTCCTAACTAAAATATGATTATGGCACCTGTCAGCTGCAAGAGGTGGAAGTCAAGGATGGAATAAGTCAGGCTTATACCCTTGGAAACAGAGAGCACCAGCTTCCAACTGCTTGGATCCAGCCCCTGTTTTCTGAGCAAGTACCAGATGTAAAAGCAGAGAGAGACTGGGGCCACAGGAACAGCCTCATGGGAAGCTGGATGATATGCACGACATTAATGCTGCAAGCAAGAAGGGCCTTAAAGGAGCCATGCTGTTTCCCAGCTTAATCAGAGAAGGGTCTGTAGGAGTGTTTGGCAGGTGAAAGGATGGTTAGATTGTGCTGGAGGTTGTTTTTAACTGGTGGTGGTAGGGATTGTGGAATGGCTTAGTAAACCAGCCCCTCTTGCAGTGGTATCTGCTGATGCTCAAGTCTCAGCCCAACTGTAGGAGATCCCAGGTGAAAAAGGTCGCTTGTTAAACTTACTTTTGTGAGTGCGGGTGAATAAAAGTTATGTTGTCCTCCCAAAACCAGCCATTCCTCTCTTCCTTAAATGATAATCCAATCCAATAATTGGGTATTGGAAACTGATTTTTTAGAAATTCCTATGAGAAAACAAGAGCATTAGGAAAATATAAGTTCCTTTATCTGATAAATGGGCAGGCTCAAAAACACTGTTGGAAATCACTGAAAGAAGAAAAGGTCCATAGCACAGAGGTGTAAACAGATGTTCACTTGGAGTAATTAAAAAAAGAGAGGTTATATCTGGGGTAGTTTAGCTTTCCTGCATCACTACAGCATCATGCACACACATGTAACAGAGCTTAACAGTTACTGCACACTCCCAAGGAACGGCTTCCCCTCCCATTTTGAAGCTACTCCAAGTATATGCTTGTCCACACCCAGGGTGGTGCTTACTAGGGCTGTGCGAAAAAGCACTGTTTCGTTTTGAATTCCATTTCGCCATTTCAAAAGGGACAGTGTTTTGTTACATTGTTTTGTTTCGAAGCACTGTTCTGTTTTCTTTCGTCAAAACTGTTTTGCTGTTTTGACGCGTTTTGATGTTTTGCCCATAGGCTATAATGGGGAATCCTGAAAATACCTAAAACTTTGTCATTTCTTCGCTGATTCCGATGAAAAGCACAGGGATGGTAGCTCCTTCCGAGGGCATGAAGATGCCATGTTTCAAGGAGATAAATGAACTGGTTTCTGAAAAACTGCACCTCAAAATGTTCAAAGCACAACTCATGACAGTTGCCGGCAGTGGCAGCCTCCTGTCATCTTGCGTGCAGATCCGGGGCCCCGCACCCCCAGGAGGGATGCGGGGCTGTGCTGGACTCCTCCCAGGGGTGCAGGCCCCCAGATCTGTGCATGGGATGACAGCAGGCTGCCACTGCTGGCTGGGAATGGCACTGAAGCCAAGTACACCCAGCTTCAAAACTCAAAACATTTTGAAACTATCAAAACGTTTTGAGTGCCCTCGTTTCATTTTGAAGCTGTTTCAAAGGCTTTTGTTTTGTTTTGATTTCGCTGCTCAAAAAGCATCGAAACAGCTTTGGTGGGAACAAAAACAAAACACAACCTAGTCCACAGAGACTTCCTTATACCCTGAGTGACAGATCCCAAGCCCTCTGGGCGAGGGGCTGAATCAACCCATCTCTCCTCTTTTCTATATCTTTTTGCTTTTCCTTTTGTACAATCACTCTTGTTTCCTTTCAGGAAAGTGCCAGAACACATTTCAAGAGCAGATGAGGAGACCTGAGAACTCACTTTTCCTGAACTAGGATGGTGGATGCTATGTGGTACATCTCCTACTTCCAAATGCTCCCTGCAGTGTGAGGCAGCATAACATATTTGTAACAACATACATTTTGTGTTTTGCATGTGCAAGCAGCAACTGTAAAATGGGCATTTTTTACTGGGGTAGATAAAGAAATGAAACCAAGACCCTTGACCAAAAAAACCACAAATAACTACAAAGGAGGGAGCAAATAGAATGAAAAAAAAAGAATCATGAATTGTAAGTGATGCTAACCTCCACATCCAGTTCAGCCATTATGACACATATACTTTGCCAGCATGCAATGGCCTCCAGACCCAGGCTGCTCATAGCAGGCAGCATGGAGGCTGCAAGCAGCTACACCAGGGTCCATAAAGCCTAGCTATTAGGTACTTGTGCTCCCTCCTACTCCACTGCCTTCCCTACCAATTAATCATTTAACTGCTGTAATTACAACAGATTAAACGAGAGGTGGGCAAAATATGACCCACGGGTTGGATCTGGCCCTCCAACTGATTGAATCTGGCCTGCAGGCAGATGCCCACAAATTAATTGTGTCCAGCCTGCAGTCCTCCACATGAGGCCAAGCCCTGCCTGCTCCAATCTGGGGCAACCCATGCCCTGCTCCCACCCACTGTGGCCCCACCCCCAGCCAGCATGCACAGCTTCTTGGCTGGGCTACTCCTAGTGCAGCTGTAGCCACCTGGGTACTGTGTAGCTCCCTTCCCTGCGCCGCCCGCCCCCCCTTCCCCGCCTTGCTTCTGCATGTGCCACCTGCCTTTCTCTTCCCCTACCCACAACTGGTTCCCAGGACTTGAGCTATCATGCAATTGCTTCTATATACCCTACACACAAAGGGCACATCTACACATGACATTACATCACTGCAGCAACGTGCTACAGTGACGTAGCATCCTAGGGCATCTACACGTAACCAGCAGCTACATCACCATAGTGATGTACTCCCCTGGTATAGCACACTGCTATAGCGAAGTAGCTGCAAAAAATAACCATGCACTGCAGGCTGTTACTGTGCCATGATTTAGTACTTCCAAAAGGAAGTACTAAATCATGGCACAGTAATGTTGTGACACATGTAGACACAACCAATGAAACATAAATCAGGACATTAAAAAAATAAATAAATAAATAAATATATATATATATATATATATAAGCACAAAAATCAAACATTTACTGTATGATTTGTTTTTATCTATAATTTATTAAACCAATAATTTCTGAAAGATTGTGTGTGCAGCCCTGGGCACGTCACTAAAACTCATTCAGTGGCCCTCCGGCCAACATAATTGACCACCTCTTGAGTTAAACAGATATTTTTAATAGGTATTTACAATCCCTAATACCCATCTAGATCGTTCAAGCAGGCATGAGAAAAAGACAGATGCTTCCCTTAGAGCACTCCTTAGCACTCAACACAAAGAGAGAATTGGTAAGTACACACCACAATTCAGGAGAATTACAAATCCCATGGTCCTCACTTACATGCCATGGCTGACGGGACACTGTTTAGTTAAGGCTATAAACTGAAGTCAACAAATGAAACAAAATCAGCTGTGCCGGGATGTGCCCTGGCATAGCTGTTCCACTTCACTGAGTGAAGCAGAATTTGCTTGGGAGTGGCAGGCACCCAATCCTGTGGGACAACACTCAGGGCACACCTCTGCAAGCAAAGAAATCCAGGTTTCTGTGCTCACAGATACATACCCCAAGTCAGAAACGCTGAGTGTGCCTGTGCAATCAGGAAAATCCGGGCAAGTGCTCCCAGGGTTTCTGCAAGAGTATTTCCAGGGCAACGGGGCTGGCCCCCTGAACACCTGGGAGCACCTCCTGAGGTAGCTGGAGGGTGTGCTCTCCACCTTAAGAGAAATCAATGTTTGCCTCAAAATAACAGCATGAATTAATACTTTTGATTGCTGCCACAAATATGGGCGCTTGTAGCAGACCAGAGGGCATGGGTGTTTGTTTTCTCTTTGTGCCGCCAAAGCTGAGAGTGTTAGCCACTAAAGCATACAAAGGGTGTTTTGGTACTTACGTGTTGGCTGCAATTCTATTACTACTGGCTGTGCATTTTTAAAGTGTGTGCACAAAGAGTGAGCAAGCTCAGTAGGTAATGCACTCTCAAGGACAAGTGCACTGCTATGTGCATGTGCCCATTGTAAACATATGTCTATGTCCAAGTGACAGAAACCAGGAAAGCCAGAAACCCAGGACAAAGGTGCGGAGGAAAGGAGGGTGCTGCAATGCTTTAGACCCAAGAGCTAAGTGATTAATGCACTTGCCCTAAAAGTAAGAGAACCATGCTCTAGTCCCTGCCCCAAATGAGGTTAGACCTTGCATCTCTGACATTCCTGCATAGTGTAGCAGGCACCATGACTCAAATCAGCATTACCTGGAGCCCTCTCCAGCAGTCCTTATGAAACAGGCTCCCTGGGCAGACATGAGAGAGAGCTATGTAGAGTCAGAGGGGATGCAGCAAATCAAAGGGTCTGTGGCTTTTCTACACTGCTCCCCATTCAGTTTTATTCAGTGACTATGAAATGCAAGGGGCAGTGGATTGGCTTTCAAAGGAATGATGCATAACAGCTTAACTAGTGCTTCACCTGTGGCATGGGCATCAAAGTAATGACCTGCTGAGCTCTACCATCCAACCACTGGTGCTGCCCATGGGGTTTGGAGTTGAGATCTGGCCACTCTTGGACTGCACCGCACATGGAGCTCACTCCAGTACTTGCCCCAAAACAGCAGAGTAACCGCTGCATGCAGCGTGGCCTCAGAGTGCCTGTGAGCTGTTCCACCACTCTGAGGCCACGCTGCCCTCAGCACCTGATCCAGCACATGGCATTCACTCTGGCTGCTCTGGGATGTGCTGGAACTGGCATGTAGGGCTGATCTCTGGGTCTGATCTATCTGCCCCAAAGACCGGCTTGCAGGGCTGCATGAGTTTGACACCCTTCACCTATGGTACTGTGGTTAGAGTAGTATTATAGGAAGTTAGAGAGTTGTTACAAGTTCAAAACCACTTTAGTTAAGAGGGGAATCTAGAGTTTTCTGGGCCCTAAGAACTCAACAACTTTCTATGAATTGGGAGTAAGATTTGGATGGCTCCTCCTCCTTCTCCAGACTTACTACTCATGTACATGTGCATCTAGCAGAGTGTATATCTACCCCCCCTGCTCTCCATCCCCTCCCCAGTGCATTTTTTAACTGTGTACATGCTTACTTATCCACACTGCAGAGGCAGGAACAGAAAAGCCTGGGTATATGGCTAGAAAACTGCCACTTAGGCACACAAAGGCAATTAGAAATTTGCTCCAAATAGTCCCTACAGCAGGAGTTGTCAACCAGGGATACACATACCCCTGGGAGTACGTGGGAAGGCCCTAGGGGGTACACCTGGGTGGGCAGGGGTGGAGTGTGGACTGATGTGGCCAACTGGATGCAGGGGGAGGGGGGAAAGCTCATATTCAGCGGCCTCCACTGCCACTCAGCATCCCATGCTGCTGCCACTCTGCATCTGGCCGCTCTCCACCCCCTGCCCCGGGGGTACACTTATTAAAAAGGGGACTTCTGGGGGTACATTTATTAAAACAGGTTGAAAACCCCTGCCCTACAGTACGGGGATCTATGCAGGTCTACGAGGACCTGCCCCTGGTATTAGACTCTGGGGATATGAGATCAGTGGAGAGACAGGAACCAAAATGCATTTGCCGTCTTGTGGGCAATTCTGATAGTTACACTAAATTTTCTTTAAAAAAAATCAAGGTAGCTGTATGTCATACCTTCTTTGACTCATCTTTCACCAGGACAAGGGTAGAATTCCACATGGAGCATGACTTCTGACTCTCACTCCATGTGGCCTCGTTTGTAGAAACATAGTAACAGGAATTTCCTCCTCTCCACTGCCAGTGTGCAGGGCACAGTGGGCAGCTGACTCCTGGAGAAGAGAAAGAAAACAGCTTTTTGTTTGTAAATCCAGAAGTGTGCATTACAGAGCACAGTGAACTATACAGGCCAGTTCCCAATCTCTTTTTTTGTGGTGACTTCACTTCTGGATTCACTTCCCTCATTCCATGTAGACGATGACTAAAGTATTGTGATCCCATTTGGGTCCAGACTCAGATATGGGGAGGAGCTGGGCTACAGTCTTTAGCTTGAGGTTGATTAGTAGATGCAGTTGGCATTCATTCTGCCTGAAGGCATTGCAGAGATGAACCCTATAGACGAACTGAATCAGAGAGGCATAAGCTTTCATGAGCAAATTCTCATTTCATAAGATGCTGTCTGTTTCCCAGTTGTCGGCGGGGGGGTTAATTCTTGTTTGTTTGTTTGTTTTATTGTCGGGGGAGGGGTTTGGAAGACATAATAATCAGGGTTGTTTTACTTGTCAGAGGGGAGCTAACCAAAGCTTTGAGGCTCTGCTGTGTTTGGGTTGACCAATAAAGTTCTGGTTTGGCCCTTTTTTCAGCTTCGGTGTGTGTGATTTTGGGTGCAGTCCAGCTCTCTGAAGAGATAAGTCCCTCTCTAGAAGTTAGGACAGAAATCAGCTCTCTGCAGTGTGCAAACATAAAACCAAAGGGGATGTGGGCCAAAAATTTGGATCTTGGGCTGCATCCAGGTGAGTGTGAATATTTGGTTCCCTGGGGACAAGTAGTAGTGACATACTTTGTGCTTTGTCCCTAGGGAACACCTATGCTATGTGTACTCTGGAACATGGCAGTTTACCCTGGGTGGGGTAGAGGAGGCTGGGGCCAGCAACTTTCCTGGCCCCAACAGCCTTACCTGGGTTACTACTGGGAGCCTGGCCAGCAGCTGGAGCATGGCTCCAGCCAGCCAGGCTCTGGTTTTGGGCAGTGCATGCTGCCACCACATGCACTGCCCCATTTTTTTCTGTGCAAGGTAGCAATGCAGCAAATGCCTGAGTGTGTGGTGTGTGGCACCACAGACTGCGGCTCCAAATATAGCATGGCTGTGCTTCTGGACATGGCCTTGGAGTGCAAGAAGCCAACGTCTCAACCATGCTAGGGTTGGCTTCAGGGCTACTCCAAGACACTGTGTAAGGCTGGTGATCCCCTGGGAAATCTGTGACACGTGCAGAACTGCTCCATTTACCATTATTTTTCTTCTCCTTTTCCCCTTCCAGACACAAACTATTTCTTATTTCTTGCAACTTTGAGAAATTTGTTTGCAGAACTTCCTTCATTTGCTTGAGTTCTTCAGCTTCTCTCTCTTTATCCTTGGTAGCCTGGAAAACTGCAATTCACAAATCATGTTCCAACGTAATCTTTTCCAAACCCAAGGGAAGGGGACACAGAAGACAGCATTTCATTATTTGGTTGGCTACTAGAACAAATTTAATTTGTAACACTGAATTCTGCTCCTGCCTTGAAATTTCTTTTTTCTTGCTTGCTTTCACTAAGGGTATTATTCAGCTACAGTATTATTAGCCTGACAAAAACATTTGTATAGGCTACTTTTTATTACTTGAATATAAATCAATTATGAATGTGTTCCTTTCCTTTACCCTTTCCTTCTGTTATGAACCATTTGATTTCCTTGGTACATATATCTGTGTTTCTCAGATATGATAGTAAAGACCTCAAGGTTTTAGAGTTATTCTTTACTTAAATAAACAAGGGGGGCACAACACGGAGATGCCACCTTCACAGCACTGATTTTTATCCAGCAGTCATATCCAAGTCTTTTTTTTTTTTAACAACTCTATGCAGTGAAACAGATGTGAATCCAGGTCTTAATGGGACAGTACGTCACAGCACAAAAAAACACTTCCCTGACTTGCATAAAAGTTCTCACCTTGGGCAGATTAAGAGGCCAAGCAGTAAAAGAGCTTTGGAGACTAAACTCTTTTGTAGCAGTGGCACTCCTGGAACAGGACCACAGAATAGCTGTGCTGGAACAGTTGAAACAGTGGTGTGGGAAGCTGGCATTTCCACGGTCCAAGAACTGCCTACTCTCTGACTAAACCAAGCATTTCAGCCCAGAGGGGATGCCAGCCTGGACTTTTCCATGGCCTCTGCAATGAACAAATACATGAAAATGTGTAGGTACTTACACAGGACCGCCAGGGCTGCCAGCCCTACCAGCAATAGCAGGCACAGGGTGATTGAAGTCAATGCAGCCACACGCCATTTGGAGGATAAATTGGGACATGCTGAAAGAAAGCCAACAATGACAGACAAACACAGGTGTAGCCTGGAAAGCCCTTACTCTGTGCCCATGCTGTTTCCCACTCTTTTGTTTTCCTTCTCAGTTCCCATGTGCCTGCAAAGCCACAAATCCAGGTTCTGACAGTGCAGCATCTGGTACAGGAATCCCACTGGGCGGTGCTCTATACACAAGGTGCCCACTGCCTGCCTTCCATGATAAGGAGTTGCAAATGATCAGCTTAGACCTCTGTGTGGCTGACACCCCCATTGCACTCTGTCCGCACAGTTCTCTAGGACCTGGCATTAAAGATGCCATTATCTGACTCCCCTCCCACAAAAACATTTCCCAGGTCAGAGAAGTAGGCTTGGCGGTGAAGGGAGATATTACTTGCATTCCCTGTAAATGTAGGAATACCATTCCCCCTTACAATTACACTGTGACAGGCCACACTTAATGGCATGCGTTGTATTTCCTCCTTCTTGACCAGCCTCCTGGCAATTGAGGAAACAACAGCACTGAACTCCTCCTCCATGCCCTTCCCCACTATCAACTACTCCCTCTTCCTTCACTAGTCACCACCCACTCTACCTTAAATGGTGTTTGTTCTTCCTACCTGAAGAAGGGGTGTGTATACCTTTCTGGGCCCTGCAGGCAGGCACCTCTCTCCCTTCAGGCTTTTCTACAGCCCTGTCCTGAAGGTTCCCCTACCATTGATTCCAAAATCGAAAAAGGCATTACACTTTCTGGACAGTGCCCCATCCATCAGGATATAGGTGTTGAGTGGTGTTTGAGGGAGAGGCAGTTCCCACCCCATCCGGTTGCATCTCCCACTGTGCAGAAAAAAACCCAAGATTCCTTGGTCAGGCAAGAGAGAAGGAAGAAGTGAGCATGACTCTCTTGCTTAGCAGCAAAGATGCTCTACAGACCGAGACCTAGGGTTCATCCCCTGCTCCAAAGACAGTTTGTGCATTTTATACTAAATGGTCACTGAACACAAAGCCTAAGCACAGCCCTACTAACCACAAGTCCCAGTGTTGTTTGTTATACCTTTATGATTCCAGAGTGCCGGGGGGGTAGGGAGGATAGAGTGGCCCAGATCAGAGAGCACAGCACTACTGTAACCCTTCTGCGAGGCACTGGACAGCAGTAGCAAGACCCAGGCTCAAATTCAGGGCTTTTATACAGACTTCTAGTTTGACTCAAGATCTCTCCAGAAACCTGGTAAAATAAAATTTAACTGTGTTCCAAAGGGAATGCACACCCCCACTCACAAGCACTAGTCAGCTATTGGTTTCTAAGAGGGGAGCATACAAAAATATTATCCTAAAAATACCTTTATCAGATCAGTATTACCTGAAGCTACAAACAGTTAACACTCTGAGGCTGCGTGTAGACAAAACAAGTGGTGTGTGTACATGACACTTTAAAATGGACTAAATGCTTTTGCACTGCTTTAATGGTGCCAGTGTTTGCACTCATTGGCAGTGTATTGTCCATTAATTCCAGCCGCTGTAGGAAATTCAGCAGCGTAATGTGCCTTAAATGACTTGGGATGCAGCAAACTAAAACTCCTTTGAAACACCGGCTTCCGTGCAGCTCCTTGGCTCTGCAGGAAGCCCTGCAGATGGCCTAGCAGCAGCCCAGGAAACCAGGATCTACGCAAGAGAAGCGGCAAGCCTGATCCCCGCTTCCCCCCACCACCTGCCTGAGTTTTGTGGGGGCCCGGTGCTTCCCTCTGCGGCTGCAATGCCCCCCAGGACTGCCCGAGCCGGGTGCCTGAGGGCGGGTGCCACCTGTGGGGGTGCCACTGCTGCCATGTGTAGTGCGCAGGTTTGTTATTACCCTGAAATAGAATAGTTTTCTGATAAGCATACTGTTAGGTTTACAATAATTTAGATTATTAAGAAGTATTAGCTTTACAGCTGAATACTAGGCATGACCTGTGGCCTAGCAATGCAGCTGACCACAAGGCAGATTGATAGCTAAGCCTTTGCTTGTGTCAAGTAATCATTTTAACTGTATTAAGCATTTTCTGAGTTAAAAAGTGGATCTGTGTCTGTGTGCTGAAAAATCAGCTACAGCAAGAAGTAAGATAAGACAGGAAAACCATTGTTCTGGGTGCACTGGTTGTGTCCTTGAGAAATATCTACTACTGTATAAGGTTTTGCTAACATATTATAATGTTACTGTTACTTAACTTTTATCTTTTAAAAAAGTGCTAGTTCAGCTTAATAAAAATATGCTGTTACAAAGATTTAAAAAGCACCGCCCAAGTATTGCTTTTTTTGTTAACCATAAAGTCTTGCCTTGTTATAATAAGTATAAAAGATCACCTCACCCTTAGGGGGGGGCCATTTTGCCTTTTGCTGGCTTTATGGTCTTTGCTCGAGCAAATAAACAGCTGTCTTTCTTTACCCGCGTTGTCTGTCAATCAAATTACAGCTAGACAACGAACCTTAGGGAGGTTTCTCCCACCACACATGGAGGGAAGAACCAGCCCCACACCTGCAGCCCAGGGACCACTCAGTTCACCCGCAGCTTGCCCTTCCCTCCCCACTGGAGAGGCAGGTAAGTCAGCAGGGTGTGTGCACAACACAGGCTTTAAATCAGCCCTAAATTTAAGCAGTGTTTTTTAAAACCCACTGCTTCAATTTAGGGCCCCCGTTTCATCTAAACACTCTGAGTCATCACCAGTATAATCCAGGGGCACTACCACTTAACCCAGGGCATGTGTATAGATGCCCTATGACTGCTCTGATGCATTCTAATGCATCGAATGTGCTTGAGCGCGCTAACTAGAATGCTCCAGTAGCCTCAGGTTCACTTGTATTCAGCATCCCCACCTTTCAAAATAGTGGCAGGGCACTTTAAACCCTATCAAACAACCTGCTGCCATTTTGAAGTTCAGGATGCTGAATACATGAGACACTGCAGGCGTTTTACTTAGAGCACCTCCTGAAAGCCGCTTGAATGAAAACACTCCCACCCCACAACCCTGGAGCACATGTAACCAGCCAAAGCTGCTGGGAGGGCCCTACCTTTGCGGCTGCCTGGATGTCCATGGGCAGAGACTGCATCTGAGGCCTGAAAATTTAAAGTGGCGTATCCTTCCTCATCCTGCATATCCAGCTCTCTGTGCTGCCTCCCTGAACTGTTAGCTGCTGAGGGTTGAAAACACTCTAAGTAGCCTGCAACACCAGGAAGTGATTAATGCTTCCACATTTCAGCCAAACCCACACAGTCAACTCAAGCCAGATTTGAAATAAGCTTCAGTAGTAAATATAAGATGGTCTGGGTTAGGGTTTTGTTTATTTTCTCTTTCTTTTTATTGAAATTGATGCAGTTTTGGAAGGTGAAATTAAAAGAACCATCAATTAAAGGTTTCAAAAGGACCATCAATCAGATTTTTCATTTTTCTGACACTGCAGTTCCAAAAGTCCTTGAGAAGTATGAGAGAGGGCCCCATTTTGGGGGTGAGGAAACTGCTCAGATTGAACACACTAGGACACCTACCTGGCACTTACACAGTTTTAGGGGCATCCAATTCACTAAGCCTATCCACCCTTTTGGAATCCCAGAAAAATTACATACAGGTCCTTTTTTACCAGGCCTTCCTCAAAGCCTGAAGGACATCAATCCAACTCCAGCTTTAGAGGTGTGAGTTGTGCTTACGCCCTCAGTGGAGCAGTAGCCACCCTGCTGTGCTCTATCAAGTGTATCCCATGTCTATAATTAAACCATTCATTTGAGGAAAGACTAGGGAATCTTTTCACATCACTGACCCACACTGCCTTGGTCTTGCTGTATTTTTGGCCCCATATATCATCCCCTTCTGGTTGCCCAGGGGGCTAGCCTCAAGTGGAGGGTTGGTGAGCGTCCTGAGCAATGCCTAGTCCATGAGCAGCTACTTAAAGAACTTTGCTGAGAACTCCTAGGGTACTTGTCCACATTACACCACTCCTGTTACCACGTTCCACTTTTCCTATTTCCATGTGACAAAAAATCGCTATTAAGCTAGATAAATAGCATCTGTGTGTCCACGTTGTCAGTTGATTTGATCATTTTAGATTTTTTTCATGGTAATGTAAAACACCTTTGACATGTTTTATTTTTAGTTCCTGAATTTCTTCCATGAGGGTTTTTGGGGTTTTTTTTTATTGTTTTAAGCCCATGCAACTCCAGGCTCTAGTGCCTCCAAGATCCTCCATCTGCCGTCTGTACACTTAGCTGCTCAGCTTCATGGCAGAGGGGGGTTGGAAAGAACCCAAGCTGCTGCCTGCAGCTCAGAGCTTTGATCCCTCTGAGACCCACTGCACACCACTCCTGGGAAGGTAAGGGGCTGCGAATCAGGAGTGAAAGGCACAGGCAGTGTATGTTGTGGGCTGTGCTAAACTGTTATATGTGGACATTGCACCCAGCTCTGGGGTGTATCTCAACCCTCCCCATGCACTGTTATATGCTGGGCGCATATCTGTCATTCCCATGCACTCTTATATGCAGCTATTACACCCCAGGGCTACCCCATGCCATGCCGCACTGGGGGACTCTCTTGGACACCCTTTCCATATGGGCTGGACCAGGGAGAATTTCCAGCTGTAATTCCAGACAAAAAAAACAGCCCAGTTCCAGGAAAACCAGAAAGCTAGAAAAACCAGAGAGACATGGCATGGGGTAGCACAAGAAAGATTTCCTCCTCTAATCCCAGCCCAAAAGAAATTCCATTTTTGAGTCCATATACTTAGTACAGTGGGCATGGGGGGAATCTCAGTTGGCAGCCTGGCACACACAAACCATGCTTTGGGCTGGGCAAGACTCTGGCCAGAGATATCCAGGAGGTTTCCCCAGTCCCACAGAGGTATACTGTGTGGTAGCCCAAGAATGATTTCTAGCCATACTCCCAGCCCCCAAATCCAGTTCCTTATTCGCACAAACCACGCTTTGGACTGGGCAGGACTGTGGTCAGGGTTCTTTACTTAGCACCGTGGCTGGGATGCTGCCAGTTGGCAGCCTGGCATGGCCATGCTTTTGTTTGGGCCAGGCAAGACTCTGTTCAGGAATGTCCAAGAGAGGTAAATTTGGTAAATATGCATAGCTAATGAAATTCTCTCTTTAGAATGTGTAATTCATTAATAAGAAGTTTTTATTGGGTCTAGATTAGCTTTGAAAAAGGAACTGGAAACCAGGAATAAGGACCTGGGACTTAAAGGAACACGAACCTCATGAACTATAGCATGTGGCCTTGGTGTTGGCCACCCCCAAACAGTGGATGATGAGAACAGTCACTGCCAGCCAGGGTTCCCTGTCCTACATCACCAGGGGGTGGGGGCTGTGTGGTGCAGATGTTCCTTGACCTTCAGTAGAGGCAGGCAGTTAGAAATTCAGGGAGCAAACCCTAGCATGTGGCCTAGGGTGCCCCAAAACAGTGGATAGTGACAGCAGGCCACTCACTGTGTGCAGGGGGTCCTCCACAGCCCCAGGCCTGGGGAAAGAGGGGACTGGCAGGGAAGTTTGCAAGTGAAGTGTTCCTGGGACCTCAGACATTTGGGGGGCGGGGCTGACTGATGAACAGAGAAACTAGAGTGCATGGCTGGTCAAGTACAAGTCACTGCTTAGCAGGCTTTTGCCAAATCTGGGAGAGAACCCTAACATGCATCTTTGAGTGCATGTAGTATGGGCCAGGTAGAAATGGGCAGATGAGAACCTGGGAGCATTCACCACCAAATAATGCAAGGTTCTCCACCTTGGGAGGAAAAACCCGCAGCATGCTTATAGGCTTGGCAGTGCTGCACTGGCTAGCACTTTGGACGAAAGGGACTTGGGGGTCATGATTGACCACAAGATGAACATGAGCCTTCAGTGTGATGCTGCAGCTAGTAAAGCAAGCAAGGCACTGGCTTGCATCCATAGATGCTTCTAGAGCAAAGCCCAGGACGTCATTCTCCCATTGTATTTAGACTTGGTGAGGCCACAGCTGGAGTACTGTGTCCAGTTTTGGACTCCACAATTCAAAAGAGACGTGGAGAAGCTTGAGAGAGTGCAGAGAAGAGCCACGCATATGATCAGAGGTCAGGAAAACATACCTTATGATGAGAGGCTGAGAGCTATGGGACTCTTCAGCCTGGAGAAGTGGTGGGTGATATGGTGGCCACCTATAAGTTTTTCAGGGGTGCTCATCAGGATCTGGGGGAACATCTGTTCACCAGAGCACCCCAAAGGATGACAAGATCAAATGGTCACAAACTCCTGCATGACCATTTCAGGCTGGACATAAGAAAGAACTTCTTTACTGTCCGAGCCCCCAAGGTTTGGAATAGACTGCCACCAGAGGTGGTTCAAGCACCTACTTTGAACGCCTTCAAGAGACATTTGGATGTCTATCTTGCTAGGATCCTATGACCCCAGCTGACTTCCTGCCCTTTGGGCAAGGGGCTGGAATCAATGATCTCCCGAGGTCCCTTCCAGCCCTAATGTCTATGAAATTTATGAAATCTATGAATAGGCCTTTGGCATACCGGAAGGTAATGCAGGAATTGGGATTTCTCTCTGTGAAGTGCTTGCTAGGGCATGGCTTCCTTTATACCTAATGGGGCAAGTGACAAGAAAGCAATAATATTGCTGGCCCTAGAACAGTCACATCTATAGGAAACTGTATGGTTTATTGAACCAGGCTGGTGTCTGTTCAAACTCCTGGAAAAACAGGTTTGGAGGTCTGCCTCTAGGCACAGACTGATGAGACCTGTAATCTGAAGCTGCGGGGGAACCAGAATTGATATGCAAATAGGGTTACTATGAAATGCTGATAGGACAATGCACTCTCAGATTTCAAGTCTCCCCACAAAAAGCAGACTTGGGGTCTGAACTCTGCAGCATAACATGACAAAAAAAAACATGTGTGGCTCTATGAAAATAAAAAAAATAAAATTGTTCAATCAAAAAGAGCGTGGCAACTATTTTTTCTTGCTTTGGGGTGCCTCTCACTTCCAATCCGCAGCCTCTGCCCCTCCTAGCGCTGCCACTGCCCTTCACTACCAACCCTCAGCCTCTACACCCCAGCCCTGCCAGTACCCTCACCCAGGGCCCAAGGGCGCCAGCCAAAAAGCAGCTTCGCTAGAGCACTGTTAATGCAGACAAAGCAATTCAAAGGGGGTCTGGGTTTTTGGTTGTAGCTGTGTTGGTCTGAGGACATAGGAAGGCAGGCAAGGTTCTTTGAGTAGATGTGATATCTTTTATTAGACCAACCGAGTAGTTGGGGAAAAGTTCTTGGCAAGGTTTTGGGTGCAGCCACCCTTCTTCAGACACAGGAAGTCTCTGCTGTTAAATTAAAGAAGAAATTAAAGAAGCTAAAAGTGTGGCAGGATGTCAGTGAAAATTTAGATAGGATTGGCACTCCAGGATTTGGCCAGAGTCACTCAACTGGTTTTACAGGTTCTGCTGAGGAATCTTAAAGTAATGGTCTGAGGGGGGATGGAAATGGTCCTCTCCAGTCCTACAGGAGGCACAATATACAACAATAACACAGAAAACATGATCATGCTTTACAGCCAAGCCACTGTCCCCCACCCCTGCTGGTTCCCCTCACCTCTCCTCACTCTTGCTGGGGTGGCCCTAGCTCTGGGTTGTAATGGCCACATATAACAGTGCATGGGGAGGGCTGAGATACACCCCAGAACTGGGTGCAATGGCCACATACAACAGTTTAGCACATCCCACACCATACTCTGTTATATGTGGCCATTACAACCCAGAGCTGAGTTCATCACAGAACCCAAGCCTCTCCAAGAGCACATGACTCTCCTCTCCCTGCAGTGGCCTGAGGGTTGTGGCATGAACACATGGGGGGCTGGTGGTTGGCTTGGGCCTGCAGCCCCCTGCCCTTCCAGCCTCATCCCCCCTGCAAACCCTGATAGTGCAGCTCACTCCCTACCTGCAGCCCTGCTCCTTCAGCCCAGCTTGTTCCCCTCACTCCTGACTTGCAGCACCCTTCACTCCCAGAAAGAGGCAGCAGTATGACTGTCAGGCAGAGCAATGGCAAGCAGAGGGTGGTCAAAGGGGGACAGGGACATGGTGCTGGAGATAAAAATAGGCTCAGAATGAACAGGAGTACCTGAGAAGAGGGGCAAGCCTGAAGGGGTAGAGGGCAGGAGGGGGAATAAGTATGTACGCTGCGGGGATATGACTGGAGATGATGATCTGCTAATGCAGCAGTTAAAAATGTGACATGCAAATAGACTAAGTGATAAGAATATTCCTCTCATTGAGCCTGGGCTGTTTCTTTTTTCACCTCAACCCATGCCATGTCCCTGCCATGCTGGGGGTGGGGGTGTTAGCTCATGCTGGCCACTGTGTGGTGATTGGGGTGGGGAGAGGGAGTTGAAGTAGGCTGATCACGCCCCTCCCCCCCAATCCCACTTTGGGGGAAGCTGTCCTGGTCACAGGGATCCCTGGTAGCCAAGGAATCTTAATCAACCTCGATAAGAACCCCAGCCCACCCCCATGCCATTCTCAGCTTTGGAAAAAGTCCCGTTTTTTGACATGAGGATACAAAAGACAGATAGGAGTCACAGGATTCTTTCTGTTTTACATAAAATTCCTGTAGTAATGTTTCAATTCAGGCTTTAGCCTGGGTAGCCTGGGTACATGATACCAACATACAGGCAGGCAGTGGGGCTGGGGAAAACAGCCAGACCCT